AACGATTCCCTACCTCGCGTAGAAAAGTAATCACGGGAATAGAACGAAATATCAAAGTCTCAATATTTTTGCACGAGAGTCAAGCTCGTGCAAAAATTATTGACACAACTAAGTCGTTGCCCCCCTCCCCCCGCAAACAAAGTTGGACAAACGACACAAGGGTATATCGTCAGGTCAAAATTTTTGTAAATAGAACGAAATATCAAAAGACTCATTATTTCAGCTCGAGATTGTAGCTCAAAGTACACTAATTTTTTATCTAGACAAGAAAGACGAAATCTATCATTATAGCTTAAAAGAACATCCTTAAATTAGTAAAACTGCCTAATTTGGTTGCAAAATGTTATAAAATACGGAAAATACAGCCTTGTGAAATTAGAAAATTTGGAGTATTTTAGTATTATGCACGGAAAAATGCATGGCACCACTTTCGGCTCAAAAGTGGTGCATTTTTCCGCGCGTAATACTATAGGATACTAGTCAAGATTTGCTTATCTCACAGGGCTATATTTTCCGTATTTCACAACATTTTACAACCAAATTGGCCAATTGTACTTTTTTAAAGATCTTCTTATAAGCTACAATGATAGATTTCGTCCTTCTTGTATGGATCAAAATATAGTCTATAGCTGGAATCATCCATTGGCGATGGTCTTGAGGGCGCATACCAAATAGTTTTCCGTTGTAAATTAAACTGTATAATTAGGAACAAAGCCTTAAGCCTGGCGCACACGATGCGATTTTATTCGGCCGATAAAAATCGTTTGACATACCGATATACAGGGTGTATAAAAAAAAACTGAACAGATTTGAAATTGCTCTCGATTTCGCAAAACACCTATTTGTATCCGGTTTTTTATATATATAGCTTCTTTGCGTATTTATGATGTAGAATAATGAAAAAAATTTCTCGAACTCAAATTTTGTGAACCAGGGGCGTGTGTCTTTTCCAACAAACTAAAAATGGCTCGCGCACAAAATTTAAAAGCTGCAATCATATTTTGAGTTAATAGATGGAAAATTTGTCTGGTTTTTAATTACTGTGCAAAATTTCAGACAATTTGGATTAGTTTTGTACAGTAATTAAAAACCCGACAAAGTTTCCATCTATTAACTCAAAATATGATTACAGCTTTTAAATTTTGTGCGCGAGCCATTTTTAGTTTGTTGGAAAAGACACACCGCCCTGGTTCACAAAATTTGAGTTCGAGAAATTTTTTTCATTATTCTACATTATAAGTACCCAAAGAAGCTATATATATATAAAAGACCGGATACAAATAGGTGTTTTGCGAAATTGAGAGCAATTTCAAATCTGTTCAGTTTTTTTTTTTCTACACCCTGTACATCGGTATACTCCGCACACGATTACGAAAAAAATACGCTCCCTGAACTGTAGCGCGTCATGTTGCCAAATAAATACAAGCACGCAGGGGCGTAGGAACCGGGGGGACCAGGGGGGCATGGCCCCCCCAAGTTTTGGCAAGTGCCCTTTTTACAGGAGCAAAGTGCCCTTTTTGTGCCTGAAAAATTTTCATAAAATTCGCAGTTTTTGTCCAAACGAAACTTTTGAAAACTGTAATGTAGGTTTTTTCCCGAAAAATGTTTTAGTTTCCGATAAAAATATCATATATTTGTTTTTCCGGAAAAATTTTTAGTATTTAAGGGAAAATATGGTATGTCCGGAAAATTTTTTTACCCCTAATATGGTACACTGACCGAAATTTTTTTGGCGACGGGGGGGGGGGAGGTCGCCAAAAATTTTTTTGAGATGCCCTTTTTTTTTTGAAAGTGCCCCTCAAAGCCTGGCCCCCCCCAACTTGTCTAAGCTTCCTACGCCCCTGCAAGCACGTGATCACAGCTTGAAATCTGATTGGTTATACTTAAAATTCCACCGATAAAAATCGTATAATATCAAAACGTTTTGATGTTGTCCGATTAAAATCGAGCAACAAAAATCGGTTAAAAATGACAGCGCACACACAACGATTTTGTTAGTTTTAGTCAAACGATTTTTATCGGCCGACAAAAATCGCATCGTGTGCGCCAGGCTGTAAGCCAGGCGCACACACTGGGATTTTAGTCGGCCGATTTAAGGTTTAGGTGTATGATATTGGCAAATCTGGCGATGTAGATGAGCCCACAGATCCTATCACTGATTGTTTTTGCTGAAAACATCCATGCTCTAAACCTGAATCGGCCGACTAAAATCGCAGTGTGTGCGCCTGGCTTTAGCTGTTTTGTCGCCCAACACTTGCCACATTCGTTCTTCCTTGATCATCCGTTTAAACAGGTTCTTTCTCAGCTTTTGTATCACAATTCGTCTCAATCCGGCAAAGCTGCAGGCAGAGCCGAAACTATTGGGGGTGTGGGAGTGTAACACCCCCAAAGATAATAGAGACAGCAGCGCGACGACGACGGCCAAAACAAACTCCTTCGAATAAATGGCAGTAAAGATAATTCGAGTCGTGTATTATCAATCGTATGAATTTAATACAGTCTTAGAAGTTAAAGACATGGGTTTTATGGTTGGGAAGAGTTCTGCTGAAGCCAGTTTGAAGTTGCACTTGTTGCGGCTTGAAATGCAGCCGTTGTATCAAGACGTGAAAATCTGTGAGTTGGAGTTGCAAACAGAGCGAAGGACAATGTCTAAATTATTCATATATTGTAATTATTCAATTCTTTTCAATGATTTAATTATTGTATTGGTAGCCGTTGTCGTCGCGTTGCCGTCCTAAATCGTAAGGTCTCTAATAAAAAAAAGGGAGCCCAACTTGCCCAGAGGGTCGCCGAATGCTGGAATTGCGGAACGTGTTAAATGTTAAGGAATGTTCTGAAAAATTGAGGTCGCAAAAGGTCTCAAAAGGTATTTTTAAACCCCCATTATCTCAAACTAGTGTTTGGAAAATTTTTTGGGACGTTTTGTTTTCGAAAAAAACCCGTTGACCTCCGCCCTCCCCTCCCCGTCGCCAACAGTTTCTGGAAGTTTCTTTCGGGAAAATATTTTGAGGGAGGCCCCAGAAAGGCAGGGAGCCCAATTTTTTGAATCCCCCCCCCCCAACCAGATACTTCTCGGCACGGCCTTGACTGCAGGAAGCAAAAATGAGACATAGATATCACGCACTTAATCTAATAAATAAATAAAATATCGACTATAACATTAAATATTTCGATCACAGCTATATGGATGCTATTACAGTTTAGTTTACTTACCACATGTTACATTTGTCAAACATATTAACATCATTGCGGTTCTTGCACTCAAGGTACCTTTTTAGGCCACTGACGATTTGGTATAGCGATCTTCCTGGATAACATTCACCTTTCGTCTTGCACAAACTTTCCAATCCAAAAATTCAAGTTATTTCTTCCAAATTTTCGGCGTCTATACCCTGAATGTCGTCTAACGATAATCAGCACATGACTGTTCTGATTTCTGAACTGTTCGAACTGACTTCCCCGATTTTCGATTAGGGGCAGCTAGAACAGAACACGTGACACTTCCCACTTTCATGTGGTTGGAAATGGATTGTGTGTATCCAATGCACACTGCATAGAGTGTTATTTTGAAGGGCTAACCGTTATATATCGACACATACTTATTATATGCTATTTGAACGCCAGGGTTGGGCAAAATCCACCTCGTACCCAGGGTCTTTCCTCTTGGGGAGAAAAGACCCTGGTAGACGCTGAACACGTGATTCCAAATTAAAAGTCTCAATATATTTTGTGGACGATTGAGGGTCTTTTCTCCACTCGCCAAGAGGAAAGACCCTGGGTACGAGGTTGGGACAAAATCAACGAGTATAAAAGTTGCAAAAGCATATACTTAGATATACAAATAACAGCAAATCATTATACGATTTATCAGTATGCGAATAACTAATGATATAGTAATGCATGGTTGCACGCATATATAATAAACTAAACACTGTTCCAGAACACCGTGTGCACTCCATTTCATATCGTTCCAGAACACCGTGTGCACTCCTGCAAGCTGCTCCATTTACTCATAGCCTATCGAAGGGAAGATGGCTGTGAAACTCATTAGAATAACAATATAACTCATTATCTGTGTTAGTCAACGTTTATCCATAAATCTGGTCCTTCACCGTCACGTGTGTATTGTATTTTTACCAAGTCCACCAATAGCAATTTCCAGTTTCCCTATTGTTCGAGTCACGGATAAGTGACTTTCCTAAAACGTTGCTATTGGTTAGTTGGGCAAAAATACAATACACACGTGACGGTGAAGGACCAGATTTATGAACATAGATAATGAGTTATATTATTATTCTAATGAGTTTCACAGCCATCTCTCCTTCGATAGGCTATGATTTACTGCTCTAGAACGTTTGGAACACTGTTCTGGAACGATATAAAATGGAGTGCACACGGTGTTCTGGAACAGTGTTGAGTTTATTATATATGCGTGCAATCATGTATTACTATTAATTGAGTTATTCGCATAATATATAAAGTGTATAATGATTCGCTGTTATTTGTACATCTACGTATGCTTTTTCAACGTTTTTACTCGTTGATTTTGCCCAACCCTGGCTTTCAAATAGCATATAATAAGTATATGTCGAAATATAGCGGTTGATCCTTCAAAATAACGCTCTATACAGTGTGTATTGGATACACAAAATATGTCGCCTCCATTTCCAATCACGTGAAAATAGGCAGTGTCACGTGTCTGTTCTGACTGCCCCTACTCGAAAATCGGGGTAGCTCAGAACAGTTCAGAACAGTCATGTGAATGGAGCAGCTGGCATTTGATATCGTCCCAGAACAGTGTTCCAAATGTTCTAGGACGAGTGGAGCAGCCTCCTGTAGATTTCAAGTCCTGCGATCAAATATTGTGCGTGCACTAATTATATAAAAAAATAAAACCCATGGAGTGATCATGAACGCTATATATAACTTAGATTGGATCACATATATAACTAGAAATAGTATGTTATGTTAACCCTCCCAGACCCAAAAAATTACTCCTTCGAATCAAAATCCGCCCCACAAGTGGTTGTCATACACTATTCCTCTCCAAATTGGTGAAATAGTTGTTGATTAAAGTTTTGAAGTTACTTATGGAGAGCACTTTGTAGTTGTTGGTAACATCATTTGGAAGATTGTTCCATGATGCCGCACCTCGATATGAAAACGAATTCTTCAAGAAGTCTGTTTTAGGTTTCTCCAAATAAAGTTTACAGTT